CCAGCTCCCATGTTTTGTTTTTTTGTATCATAGACATCTCCTCCTCCATTGCAGTTTTCCATTTCTGGTCCTTTTGCGCTTCCTCGCAGCTAGCAGGTTCACAAACTGCTACATTACATCTTTGATAGATGTCAGATAACAGCCTTTTGCCTCTGACTGGAGGGTCGTCTTCTAATTCATCCTGTAACAGCTCTGTTGTTTGCTGTCCCGAATGCTTATCATCAATGTTGCCAAATAGTTTAGTTGTTCTTTATGAGTTCTCCCAATTCCATTGTTGTTCTTCATTAAAGTGCACATCTCTGGTAACAATCATCTTTCCGGTTTGAGGATGATACACTTTGTAGGCCTTTGAAACTTAACTGTAACCCACAAAGATGCTCGGAGTTGCCTTCTTGTCAAGTTTGTCACGCTTAGCCTGTGGAACATGTGCAAAACAAACACAACCAAACACTTTAAGAAATGTTAGTGATGGCTTATACCCATACCAAGCCTCAAATGGAGTTTTATCCTTCAAGGCTTTGGTTGGAAGCCGATTTTGGAGAAAAACCGTTGTGTTAGCTGCCTCTGCCCAAAATGTTTTAGGCAACTCCTTCTCATGTAACATGCATCTAGCCATCTCCATCACCGATCTATTTCTCCTTTCACTAACCCCATTTTGCTGTGGAGTGTAGGGGGCTGTGAGTTGATGTTCAATACCAGATTCTTCACAAAATTGATTAAATTTTGTTGATGTATACTCTGTCCCATTGTCAGATCTTATACATTGAATCTTGCAGCCACTTTGAGTTTCCACCATTTTCTTGAACTTCATAAATACTCTAGCCACTTCATGCTTAAATTTCAAAAAAAATATCCAGCACATTCTTGTGAAGTCATCTATGAAAAGAATGAAGTATAGACTACCTTGTAGTGATGGTGTTCTTTGGGGTCCCGCCACATCAGTGTGAACAAGCTGCAACTTTTGAGAAGCTCTCCAAGCTGATTTGGGGAATGATTTTCTTATTTGTTTACCAAATTGACAAGCATTACAATTTGGTAAATTATCAGAAAGTATTGGCAGACCTCTTGACATGCCTTTTCTTTGCATGTTCAATATTCTTTCAAGATGGCAATGGCGGAGTCTCTTGTGCCAGAGTTCTGTGGGATTGACTTGAGTAAAATAGACTGCCTGTCCCTCCTCTGTTGGATCAAACGAGAAGCTTTTACCTCTCATTTTAACCCGTAAAACTTCCCAGCCAGCAATGTCGTAGATGAGACATTGTTGATTTTCAAAGGATACTTTAAATCCCTTTTTAATCAACTGACCTACACTTAGTAAGTTTTGGTCAATGTCAGGTACGTAGAGAACATCGGATATAATTTTGGTACCTGAACACGTTGAAATTGCAATGGTTCCTTTTCCTTTTGCAGTAATATAGCCACCATTCCCTATTCTGACCTTTGAGACATTTGTGGGCTTCAAATCCTTGAATAGAGTCTTGTCATATGTCATGTGGTTCGTACAACCACTATCAATTAACCAGCATTCAGAATTGCTCCTTGTCGAATAGCATGTTGCAGCAAAAATATAGTCTTCTTCATCTTGCTCAACAACTTGGGCATTGGCTTCATGTTGCTGCTGAAATTTGCTCCTACAAATTACAGCTTCATGTCCAAGCTGATTGCATTTACTACACTTCGCGTCTGGTCGTTTCCAACATTTGTATGGTGGGTGACCCAATTTCCCGCAGTGCTGACAAGGTGGGTAGTTTTTCTTTTTAACCCTACCATTGTTTTGGTTGTTTGCACTATTAACGTTGCTTGATGGCTGGTCCTTCTTGACATGCTTCTTTCTACTGGTTTCCCCATAATGGTGCTTGGCTCGTAAAGCACCTTCGACTGCACCATCTTGTCTCATCAACCTTCGCTGCTCTTGGGACTGCATAGCACTTACAAGTTCTGCCAATGTGATCTTTGAAAGATCCTTAGTGTTTTCTAATGAAGTAATAGAAGCTTCAAATTTTTCAGGAGCAGTTACTAGTATTTTCTGAACTATTCTTGAATCAGAAAAATCAGAACCTAACAACCTCACCTTGTTAGCAATGTTAAGAAGTCTGTTTGCATACTCCTTAATTGTTTCAGACTCCTTCATCTTCTGCATTTCAAATTCTCTAACCAGATTCATTGCTTGCATTCCCTTGATTCTTTCATCTCCTTCATATTCTTCCTTGAGGAAATTCCAGATCTCAAATGCCGAATTAATCGTCATGATTCTGGTGAAAATGTCTTGTGAGACAGCAGCAAACAAAGTAGTTCTTGCCTTAGATTTTCTTCCTTTCTTCTCCTTGTGATTTTTTATCTGAGCCATAGTTGGATTGTTCGGTAAAGGAAGAACTTCATAGTCTTCCTCAACGGCTTCCCAAAGGTCATTTGCTTCTAGGTAAGCCTCCATTCTTGCTGCCCAGATGTGATAATTATCACCGTCAAACACAGACGGTGCTAGTTTTGTGTAAGGAGTTTCAAAATCCATCTATTTGATGAATTGAAGGAAGGTTTATTATGGTGGGTTTTTTAATGGGTTCACTCACAGGTCCCTCTAAGAAGAAGGCTCTGATACCAATTTGCTAGTTTAATGGCAGAAAATAACAAATAGAGAGGCAGAGAAGTAGAGAAAACTGTTGGTTAAAAGAAAGGAATATATTTTGATCAATAGAAGCGTTACAATAAATAATAGAAAGGCAAACTGAAAACTATCCCACGTAACCAGGATCTTAGGGAATTGAATAATTAAACTAATTTGCTCCTAAAGTATAGCAACTACTACTAGCTTGCTCCTAAAGTATAGCAACCACTAATTGACTAAAAAACTGAAACAATAAAATAAAATAGTAATAATAAATCTAGCAGTTACAAAAGCACATTTAATAATTTGCTTAAAGAAGGATATGAAAATAATCTTATTTGCCCTTGTGTTTTTATAAGAAAAACAATATCCTGTTTTTTTATAATTGTTGTCTATGTTGATGATTTAAATAGCATTGGAACTAATAGAGAAATAAGGGAAGCAAGAGATTACTTAAAGAAAGAATTTTAAAATGAATGATTTGAGAAAAACAAAGTTCTGCCTTGGTTTACAAATTGAGTACGCTAAAAATGGTATATTGGTACATCAATCCAATTATGCATAAAGGGTATTGAAAAAGTTTAACATGGATAAAGAAAACCCTTTAAGTACTCCAATGATGGGTAGAAGACTTAACATTAAAAATGATCCATTTAGACCTAAAGAAGATCTTGACTCTAAAATACAATACCTCATTGTCATTGGGGCACTCATGTACCTTGTTAACTATACAAAGCCTAATATAGCTTTTGCAGTAAATTTATTAGCAAGATTTAGTTCATGTCCTACAAAAAGATATTGGAAAGGAATAAATCATATATTCTGATATCTTCGAGGTACATCAAACCTTGGTTTATTTTATTCTAACAATACAAAATCACTTTTACTTGGTTATGCACATGCAAGATATTTGTCAGATCCACATAATGCTAAATCACATACTGGATATATATTTACATATGATAACACTGCAATATCATGGAGATCACAAAAGCAAATACTTGTAGCAACTTCTTCAAATCATACTGAAGTAATTGATCTTCATGAAACAAGCAAGAACATAGATGGTTACGATCGGTAACTAGACATATCCAAGGTGCATGTGGTTGATCTATTGATAATAATCAAACAATTTTGTATGAAGACAATGTTGCATGTGTTACCCAGATGAAAGAAGGTTACATCAAAAGTGACAGAACCAAACATATCCCTCCAAAGTTCTTCTCATTCACACAAGAACTTGAAAGGAACAAAAAGGTTAATATTCAATATATTTGTTCATGTGATAATATGATATATCTCTTCACAAAGGCACTTCCTACATCAATTTTCAAGAAGCATGTACAAAATATTGGAATGCGTCAACTTCGAGATCTTTAAAGAAGAACTATATGTGCTCTGTTGAAGGGGAGCATCATGTTGTACTCTTTTTCCCTTATTAAAGTTTTTATCCCAATGGTTTTTCCTAATAAGGTTTTTAATGAGGTAATATATGTTTTCATAAGTTTATCTTTGATAAGACTTCGATGGAGCACCGTAATAAATATTCCAAAGGGAGAGTGTTATAATATTATTGTTATTATAATAATATTATTATTTAAAAATATCTATCTAAATAATAATGACAAATTATTATTGTAGATACATCATTTATAAAAGTTAAAATAGTAAGTTCAATTATTACATTAGTGTAATAGTTGCATTTCTAGTAGTATAAATACTAGATTTGCCTAATATAAAAATACACTAAAATTTTACTTTGAAAGCACAAAAAATATTATCCTTTCTTCAATCTTTCCATCTAAATTTAATAGTTGCAACTACTTTAATAACTTATATTAATTTATAAATATTAATAAATATTTAAAATTAATTTTTCTCAACAAATTGTGAATTCTCCTACAAATTCACTACATTCCTTTTGTCTTTCTTTGACTTCATAGAAACCTACAAAATAGGTCAAAAATCTCCAAAACTGTAACTTAATTTGAAAATTATCATTTAATCAAATAAAACTTAAATACTTGAATTTTACTAATAAAACTAAATCAAATAAAAATACTTAAGATAAAATTAATAAACATAATGATTAATCAGACCCCTTTAGAAATTAATAAACATAATGATTAATCAGACCCCTTTAGAGACAGAAGCTCTTAACTTATCTAGAATGACTTTGAGACTTAAAAATATAAAATAAAAAATACGTAAAAGGTTCAGGTGAATCTCTTAAACTGCTTTATCAAATAAGTGTAAACCATGAATGAATATAAATTTATCATTACTTTACATTAATATTAAAAATTTTAACGTGAATTACCGGCCATTCACATTATAAATAAGACAGGTGCAAGTAGTATTCATTCACAAGTCACAACAATCTCACAGCTTCACAAAGATGGCAAGAAATTCTTATACCTTGTCACTTTTCCTTCTCTTCCTCACTCTTGTCAGAACCTCCCATGCAGGTGGCATAGCCATCTACTGGGGCCAACACATTGAAGAGGGCACATTATATGAAACATGTGCCACTAGAAGATACACCCACATAAACATCGCCTTCCTCGAAAGATTCGGCAATGGCCGAATCCCCAAACTGAATCTCGCAGGTCATTGCAACCCTTCAACCAAATCATGCACCAGAATAGGTGACCACATCAGGTATTGCCAGAGCAGAGGTATCACAGTGTTGCTTTCTATCGGTGGTGGAATCGGAAGATACTCTTTAGCTTCAAGAGAGGATGCTAGAGACTTCTCACTATATTTATGGAACACTTTCTTGGGTGGTACGTCATTTTCAAGACCATTTGGTGATGCTGTGTTGGATGGTATAGACTTTGATATTGAACTTGGCTCTGCACAATATTGGCAATACCTTGCACGGTATCTCAAGGATTATCATGGTGTGTATCTAAGTGCTGCTCCTCAATGTCCATTTCCCGATAGATTCTTAGGTAGGGCCATTGAAACAGGACTTTTTGACTTTGTTTGGGTTCAGTTCTATAATAACCCTGCATGTGAATATTTTAATGATAGAAAAACTAACCTTGAGAGATCATGGAAACAATGGACAACTGCTATTCCATATGGAGAGGTATTTTTGGGGTTGCCCGCGGCTGAGGGGGCAGCAGGAAGTGGTTTTATCCCGGCCGACGTGTTGACGTCTGAAATACTACAAGTTATTCAGTATACATCAAAGTATGGAGGTGTTATGCTTTGGTCAAGATACTTTGATGATAGGACTGGTTACAGTGCATCCATTATAGATAGTGTGTGAAGAGTTCATAGTTGCAATAAATAAAAGCAATAACATTACACTTTGGCAATTAATAAGTGGTTTTTTTTTTCAAATAATTGTTATTTGTAATATTTGTGTGTCTGCATGGATCTTGCACTCTTCTGTGACTTTAAAAGATTGCTTTGTTTTTGTCTCTTCATATAATCAATAAGTTTGAAAGAAAGTTAAAGGGGGAATAAATGTATGGTAATAGTTATTCTGTTATTATTCTGCAGTTTCGATAATGCGAACGGTTATGTACTTGACACAAGCTTGGCGCTCTCTTTTGAAATCTGAACCAGTAGTCTTTAGAAAATCATAATGTGACAAAACTGAGTACAAAAGTCTTTAGAAAATCAAATGATAATACCAATTCAAGGTGCAATAGTAACAATACAGAAGCAAGAAAAATGAAACAGTTTGATTTCTTATCAAAACTTTCAATGAAATGGAACTAACATCTGACAACGTTCTAAATATTGAGCCATAAAAGTTTACAGAAAAACAAAAAATGAAAACAAGGCAATAAATGAAGAAAAGATGAAACCTATGAAGCAAAAAACTATATCGGTATCACTATCACGCCAAAAAGAGAATGTGAACTTCTAAAAGTATATGTAGGCATTGGAGGCAGAAACTTAATTTGAGTTTGGCTTAATTCGTGCTGGCTACTGTTCGGACCTGGATATTGCAAGTTTGGCTTAATTTGTGTTGGCTACTGTTCGGACCTGGATATTGTGAGTAGAGTGCAACCTCCAAATGGGTTGCCTTCCACTTTGTACAAGGGCTACTTCTTCTCCTTCTTTAACCATTCCATTCTTCTGCATACGGAAACAATACGTGAGATCACGAAAATTTAAAATGGAACTTTTTGTTTGAGCAGTTGACGTTTTAATAGGTAATTGAATCGTTAAGCATTTGTTTGTACCAGTAGCAAGAAGTTCAACAATGCGTAGAGGGTTAATAGTTAAGTATTGCATGCACGAATAAACCGATACATGGTTGAATGTTTGAATGTAAATTGTATCAGCAAATAAGGAGTAGAATTACTGTATAGGTAACATTTCAAACACCAAAGATATCTTCCAAAAATTACCTGCAACAAATCCAAGGCTTTTGTGAATGTCTCTTCAGAATCCTCAGAGAATTGCATGTAAATAGGACAGACTCCTTGATACAAAGCCAGCCTTTGTTGTACTCTTTTCCTGCATGGCCATGAGAATTAGGTAAACCACAAACTTGTCAGAGTTATAAATTATAATAAGTGGAGACAAACGACGTAAAATAAAGGAAAAAATAACTCACTCATCAGTAAAAGCAAATATGGTGCCAGAAGGTCGATAATGGCTCAACAGAATAGCCATGAAGCCCGATCTAGTGAAGACAACCGTTGACGTTCCAAGAGTATTAGATATCATGGTTGCATGGTATGCAAACATCTCGCTCATGTGGTTCTACACAATCAAAATGAATAAACTACACATTTCAGTGTCAACGATGATATTTTATTCATTGCCAACAATAAAATTAGGAAAGATTTGAAAAAGTCGGCGTAAGAAAAAAGGCACATTTAGCTTGAAGTTTAGACCTTGAATACTTGGCCAATATTAGGTGGGATTTGCCCACTTGATAAAGAGGCTTCTGTCCGCAATGCTACCGTGTGCATTACTTTCGCAGCTTTTATTGGAAATCTGCAATATAATAAGTTTCTTATTATTGTCGCTTTCAGTAAACACTCTTGATTTATATTCATCATCTAAGTCAGTGAGATACTACTGCAACAAAAACTCAATTGCGATATTTCAGGGAACAACTATTTAAGATTGATATCTATTCCTTTATAAGAACTGGATTTGAAGAAATATCGGCAAGTCAAGGTAATTTGGCGCTTTGAGACGTGGAGTTATTTACTTACTTTCCGTGAGCAGTTTCTCCAGAAAGCATGATTCCATCGGAACCTTCTCGAACAGCAATTGCAATATCAGATACCTCTGCTCTGGTTGGTGTCGGGTGAACAATCATGCTTTCGAGCATATTTGTTGCCACAATAACAGCCTTTCCCATGCTACGGCATATTCTAATTATCTCTTCCTATATTAGCAAACATTATTTAAGTTAAGATATGCACAAACTAATGTCCAGTTATGGAAGAAACACTCAATGATTACGTTTACCATTAATTAATCTCAAATTTGTGTAAAAACAACTTTACCTGCAAAAGCGGAACCTCCTCAATAGGGAGTTCTGCACCAAGATCTCCTCTTGCAACCATAGCCTAAACAGAATAGTAAAAGAAGACAGGTCAGCATCCACGGTCAAAATTAAGAAACCAATTCTCCGGAATCAGGCTAGTTAGGCAACAATCTTAATGAAATAATGCAGGATTAGGTTATCACCCCATCAGACGCGGTAATGATTGAATGCAAGTTCGGTATGGAGTCTGCGCTTTCAATTTTTACAATTACATGTATATCAGCACCACAACCTGCATTAGTAAGAAAAGGAATTTATCATATTTCTAAATAATCGGGAAAATTATCTGCTGTATAATTGGAAAATAAATTATCTTGAATAATTACTTTTCAAATAATTCTTCAGTTCATGAACTACTTGTGCATCCTTAACAAAAGACACGGCGTAGAAATCAACTTCATTATCGACTCCAAATTTGATGTCATCCCAATCCTTCTCTGCAGCACATCAATAGGAATATTATCCGTATGAGTAACCAACATAACCTAAACCCCCAACCAAACGAACTCTCACATACACAAGTGAGGAAAATGAGAGAGGCAATAATAAGAAATTACTATCAAAAACAGGAATAATATTCCATAAGTCTAACCAGTAATGGAAGGTAGTGTTGCACTCTTTCCTCTAACATTCAAATGTCTCCTTGAACCGAGTTCTCCTCCATCAATAACTTCACATTTCACAGAATCCGCTGTCTTCGACTTAACCAAGAACGACATCATACCACCTACATCATACATCAAGAGTCAGAAATTAACAAAAGACGTCATACAATTGATGGATATAGCATGCATCAAAGATTTGGTACTGACTCTTTCTGATAGAAATAGGTAATTGAAGATATTTTCCAATAATAAGAATGTCATAGATCTAAATGGTCTTTGCAAAGCACTAGAAGACCGACATGCCACACTGCCTTGGGGTCAGTGTTGTCAAATACAGTAGCTACTATAGTGGCTTAGCAGAACTCGTACAAATCATTATTGTCCCGTGACACGCTAAACAAAGTGTTATCAAATAGCGGCTATGGCGGTGCAGTGCTATATGCCGCAATTCGTTCTTGGGATCATTTAGACAATGGGCCTTGTCCCCTTTACAGCACACATAAAAATATATTACTTGAGTGTTTGTCGATTCATTAATCATTTAGCATGACACTAGATTTGTAGTAATCTGAATATTTTAGTCGACTCAATTAACAGCCGTACCATCAACAAGAAGCATGTCCCCCGCTTCAACATCATTGACAAAATCATCATAGTTCACACTAACACAATCTGCAGTTCCAACACCACTCTGGATAGTAAAAGTGAACTCCTGTCCAGATTTTAACAGAATTGGTTGTGGTAAATCCCCACTCCTGACCTCGGGACCCTGAAAAATAGATAGAAATGAATTTATCAGCTAACACATAATCGAAACACTGATCACAAAAATATCATCATCTTCGATCAAACAAAGACTTACCTTGGTGTCAAGCATGATAGCAATTACATTGTCCTTTGATTGTGCGTTATATTCCTTCACCAAATCAATAACTTTCTTATGAGAAGCATGATCTCCATGCGACATATTCATTCGAGCAACATTCATCCCAGCCTCCGCCAGCTTCCAAATCATCTCCTTTGTATTAGTAGAAGGACCAATAGTACAAACAATCTTAGTCTTCCTTCTAACTATTGGCTTAGACCACATTTCACCAGAAGCATCACCAAGTTGCTGCGAAGCAGGCAACTTCTGCAACTCCTCCACAATCTATTCACCTCAAAACAAAATAGGTTAGAACAATTTTCTCAACCGTTTAAAGTTACTTCTATTTCTGATATATGACATGAGTACTTCCCAAAACATCAAATTTTCTCACTACTAACTACCCATCATTTTTTTTTCTTAGAAAACAAGCAACAGAAGCAAATTTACAATAAGATATACAAAAAAAAACAAACCTTTAAATCATCATCAGGTGAGACAGGGACAACTTCAGCTGATGCGGACTTTATTGCATTGATGTGACAATTTCTGATACTGAGCTTGAGGGATTTGTTACCCTGTGGTGAGAAGACTTTGGATGAAAAAGTTGCCGGCTTCAACAAGGTTTGAGACCTATCTTGTGTAGATCCTGAGGTGGGGCGGAAGAGAGAGGTTTGAATAGATCGAGTGACCGCAACCTGAGACATTGTTGCAGAGAGAGAGGTGAAGATTGTTGAAGAGAATGAGAAAAGTGTGTGTGAGAGAGAGGTTGATAAGAAGAAGGTGAAATTGAAGGATTGGAGGAATGAGCGATAAAACGGCGGAGACAAATATGAAGAGGGACAAGAAATGACAAGTATATTTTCTTCGTTTGTATCGAAGGAACCAACAACGTTAATGCGAGTGTTGGATTTAAACCTTTCTTGTTCGAAAACAGGTTCGATGATTACTGCGTACGACGTCGTTTTCGGTTTGGGGTTTAGTCTTCACTGTTTCTTTGTCCCCAGCATTAGTTTTTTGTTTGACAAATATTTTCATTCTTTTACTCTAATATTTACTTTTCTTGAATAGAATTTCAACATTATATAGATTTTATTTAGGAAATGGCTTGTTAGCCCCTTACTCTTACTCGTGCATACCACTTCTTCAAAAATTTGTTTTTGTCTATTATGTGTTCTTTTATTTTATGGGTTCTATTTCCATTTAAAAGAATTATGGTCTAGAGATATATCTATTATATTGTTTGAATGTATTTGGAGAAGTTTCTTTGAATAACTTCTAAATCATTTTATAACATTATCATTGTTCCAACATCATAGTTTTAGTCATTTGTTTTTGCAGGCAATGAATTTTTTGCTGGCTTATTGCTGCTTTTGATGCCTGAAGAAAATGTCTTTTGGTAGGTCTCGATAAAGCTTCCTTAGATTTCTAGAGTATATATTCAGAATTTGCACTTCTTCAATGTAGCTTCATAATTTTAAATGTTCCTGTATTTGTTGAGTTTTACTGTCATGAAGGAATGTGATAGAAATCTGGTATTTATAGTGAGTGAATTAAAAAAAAGAAAATAGAAATGATAGAACAATTTTCTGTAGAATTTGTCTTAAACAGCCGTTTATATTTTAATATAAAATTAACACATTTGATTCCACTGATGCAATATATAATGTAAGCAGGGTCCTTAGTATCATATTTATATTTGACTATGGATTGAGCTCTGCATATTGTCAAATAATTCAAAATCTCATGAATTTGATCTTTTTATTTCATACAAGCTTACGATAAAATTATATGTTACTTTATTGCTCTAAAAAATGAATCATGTATAAATATTACTTTAAAAAATTAAAAGTCTAAAATTTTGATTATGTATTTCAACATTTTCACTATAATGTTTAAAATGTGATTGAAATACTTCATAAAGTTACACGAGATATCATCAGTTAGATTCAAATAAATAAAAATTTGCATAAATATTACTCTTAATATGCATTTGAATATATTTTTTCTTGTGAAATTTGAATTTGATAAGATTTTTTTTTTCATACCCGTGCAGACGCACGGGTCTTCTACTAGTTTCTTGAATAGTAATTCAACATTATATAGATTTTATTTAGGAAATGGCTTGTTAGACCCTTACCCTTACTTGTGCATTCCACTTCTTCAAAATTTTGTTTTTGTCTATTATGTGTTCTTTTATTTTATGGGTTTTATTTTCATTTAAAAGAATTATGGTCTCGAGATATATCTATCATATTGTTTGAATGTATTTGGAGAAGTTTCTTTGATAACTTCTAAATCATTTTATAATATTATCATTGTTCCAACATCATATTTTTTTAGGCCAACTTATATCAAAGTAAAATCAATGTAAAATGAAGTTATATTAAATTTAAATAAAAATAAAAGGTCATAATATAAAAAGTCAAGACCATAACATTTATCCGAAAATACTAAAAAGTCATACATCCAAACATAAATTAACTATTAGGTATGTCTAATCCTTTGCCTCCTCCTTCGCCTGACTATGTGTTCCACGAGGGACAATGAGGATTGTTATCTTGAAAGAGTTCTGATTTTATGGATGTTCTACCCATCTCCACAACATGCTGACAGACCGCTGTCATGCTCTTTCCCTACTCATCCTGAACCTCAAGTACCTCCCGATTAGCTAGCTTATATGGTCCTCTAGAAGCGTCTGACGTCGAGATAGGGTGTGACACTCTATAGAACCATATCATGCAGCCCTGAACAATGGCCCAATATATAAGAGTTGACTCTCTAAGATACTCATTTGATGCCAGGAGACTCTCGAAATCATCCAGTATCGCCTATAGATCTTTATAGCAGACGTTGAGATGAGCGGACTCATGGAAAGGTCTTGGAATAATATGCAAGTAGTCAAACTGACGCATCACTCGCTTGGGAAGATATGGATACATAAGAGATGACCCATATGTCAGCCATACAGAGTATATAGAAATGATGTCAAACCTACGTGTATGGTGGTGACCCTCGTATGTGCAGAAGCAAATGTCATTTGGTACCATACAATCAAGAGAGACTTTCAATGGCTCGAACGCACCATTTCCCATGTACAAAACAAAAGTGGCTGCAGGCAGCCAGTCTTCATCGTAGGCAGGCGCAACTTCAAACTCGATTATCTAAGGAAAGTGGGAGATGATCCATCCTTAAAAATGGTTCGAATACAATATTATTAACATGTGTAACAAATGAATTACAAAAATATTAGTAAAAAAAATAGTGTAAGAAGCATGCTGTTGCGGTGGAAATAGGATCACAAACTATTAATGAGTTTGAATCACAATTCAGTTCACAACCGCTCTTTGATTTATCCGAAGGAAGAGGTCAAAAGAGGGAAAACCTATTTTTGCATCGTAAACACAATGCGGGGAAAGATCTAGGGTTCGGGGGTTGGTTAAATTTAGGGAAAGTATTAGCACCCTAAACTTCTGTAGTACTCTACAGGAACCTTTTGTTCAATGCTTACTATTTGCTTTATTTATTTGCTTAAGGTATATGTACAAAGGGATTAAAAGTGAGAAAAGAGACCTAAGGGGTTAATTCTAAGTTTACTCGGCAAGACATCGCATCTTGTGCCTACGTATCCTTACGGGAGTGGAATCAGAGTAATCGTAGTTCCCCTCAAAAGGGAGGTTAGAGACTTCTTGACTGTGGTCAAGGTCTCAAGGAGAATAAACGCATCTTAAGGACACGCTTACGTGGAGTGTAGAAACTCCAAATCTCTACGTTGAATTGTTAAGTTGTAATTAGGGTTAGATTAGGTTAAGGATTCCGCGGCGGGAAACCCTAAAATGAGCGCGGCGGCTCTTTGACCTAATGCTAGGGGTAAAATTGTAATTTGGCCTGCGGCGAGGCATTTGTGAAAATTAGGGTTTGTGAGGGTTGTAAGGGTTTGAAGTTTGAGGACTATTGGCGCGGCGACCAAAAGCTAGACCTAACCTTCGGATGTGCGTAGTGTGACAGGAGTATTGATGAATGCGTGAGATAATTGAATTGTGCAAACAGAAAATAATGTCCTAATTTGACCATGCAAGCGGAAATTTAAAGGGCAGTAATTAAAACGCGATTATTAGGATTCGCGAGGTTACAACCGAGAAGCAATTACAATAGTGATGAAATTTAAATAAAACCAACCACGCAATAGTAGTAAACATGAGCTGCAAATGATGAACACCGTTAGTAAACAAAATTAGACAATAACGGGACGGGTTATGGAGAAAAAATGCAATATTTGAGATTTCTGTTGTTTTTAAAGAAAGAAATTTGATTAAATTAAGAGATGTTAACATAAACAAGATTAATTTTAATTTTCGAAAAAAAGTGGTTTTAATTTAATTATCTACAAATTAAAAGATTTGATGTTATTATTTTTTTAAAATATTTTTAGTTATTATTTTTAAAAAAAGGTTTTTATTTTATTATATGAAAAAAAGAGGTTTTTTATTTATGATAAAGAAAAGTTTTTTTTAGTTTTTATTTATTTTTTAAAAAAACAAATTCAAAATTTTTACAAAGAAAGGTTTTTAAAAACAATTTTTTAATTATAAAAATCAAAATAAAATAAAAATTTTAAAAAACAGTTTATAAAAATAAAAGGTTAAAAAAAAACAGTTTATGAAAATAAAAATAAAAGGGGTTGGGTCGGTCATCACTCCCGGACCCAACCCGGATGGGGTAAATCATAACCAAAGAACATTTAGGGTTCCCAAAACCCTAACATTCTTGCGGCGCCGTTTGCATTCTTCTTCTTCTCTCTCGATTCTCTTTGATCCACTTCATGATGAACCTCTCTCGTATTGAGAAACCTGAAAGAAATTCAACTTCAAACCGTTAAATATACGTCAATGATAAATCCTGTGCTTACGTTTAAGGGTTGGAAACGGCGATTGTTGGTGGTTTCCGGCGGCCGATGATGAAGTGAGCTGAGGCCCGAAACGGTTGATTGCCCGTCGTTTGGTTAAAACGGCGCCGGTGGTCTTCCGTTTGAACGATCTGAGGTTTTGTCGTCCACGCACCGTTAGGATCTGAACAAAGGTGACTTCGTTCTGGTTCTCTCGCTTCTGTTCTTCCGCTGCGATATGTGATTGTTGTCTTTGATGTTTCGCTTTACCGTTTGTTGTCTAGGGTTTTCGCGATTTTTTGTCCGTCTCTCTCTCGCGGCCACTTAGCGTTCTTACACGAGGTGATATTGCCCCTTTTTATACCTCTCTGATTTCTCTTTTGGGCCTTTGTTAACAATGGATTTGCGTTACTATTGGATTTTTCGATCTGATATGATTTGCTGTGATTTTTTTTTTATTCGATTTGAACACTTTTCGGATTCACTTTTGCTTGATCATTTTTCTGATACACTGATTGGATTTTTCTGATTGAATCTTGTTTCCTTTTTTAGGATTTGATTGGTGTGCTTTTCAGATACTGATTCTGTTTTTATTTTTCTGATAAGATTTGGATTAACTTTTCCTCTTTTTCTTTCAGAACAGGTATGGATGTTGTTGAGTCAAAGTTGCCGAGAAGGGGGTATACGGTGATGATGACAATGTTCTGAGCCTTCGGAACTACGCCTTGTCGTTTCTGTCGTGAGACTGCAACATTCGGTAAAACAATTTGCGACTTATCTTGGAGCTGTGAACTTAGGGCAATGATGCTTTGACTGAGCCCA